TCGTTTCAGTTGGGTCTGTCAGGGTATCTGATCCGAAAAGCTGACAAAAATAGAAATTCCACACCACCAGTTTTTAATCCCTGCTGCTGTACTTGAGCTTCCTGAACTCATTTTCCATCATCTTGTATTTTTAACCTAAGTCCTAGATTAAGAGTGTGTGTTAACCGAAGTCTTTGGGATGGGTGGGAACTTTCAAGTCTGATTGGTGGCTTTTATTTCTCCCCAATTATTTTCAGACTGTTTTCGGAGGGAGGCAACTTTTCTCTTGCAGAAATTGACTCATTGTGCCATCGACTGGAGAAGGAAGCTGCCCAGATAGAGTCTGTTGAAAGTTTAATCATGACCGATATGGAGAAGATGGAAAATGACTACCTGGACCAGGTGGGGAAGCTCAGCCCTGTCCTCCAGGCAATCCCAGGCCGGTTATAGAATGTTGTCTCTAAAGGGAGACCCCAAGNTTCATTCTTTTTTATGGCTGAGTAGTATAAACATCTTTAACTTAGTTATTTTATAGTCTATGTCTGATAATTCCAACATCTGAGGTATGGGGGGTGGTGTGTTCTGTTTCTGTTCTCTGTTATTTTACAGGTTCTCGTTCATGGTCTCTTGTTTCCTTGTGATTTTTTTTTTCACTATGAGTCACTCATTTTCCTTAGGATTCTATCTGTGGCATTCTTTGAGGCCTGGACTTTACATTGCATTTTTCAGAGAGAATTCTTATTTATTTCTGCTGGGCAGCTGAGGGGCACTACCACCTAGGACCAATTAAAATTTTCTGCTTGAGGTTTTTTTTATTACTCTAGAGACGTGAATTCAGTTTGTAAGTATATATGAAGTCCAGTTGGTGGTTACAGATTCTCAGGGGGGAGATAGCTCTCTTTCCTCCCTGCCCTCTGATCTAGACAGGCCAGTGTCCTGGTATCTGGTGGGTTCATTTCTCACTCAATCTCATACTGAAAGTGTCATCCTCTGGGTCCAGCTCTGTGCTGTGCCCTCACCCTGTGCAGCTCTCAAGGCTGAAACTCAAAGTCTCCTGGGCA